CGAGGCTTGGGGCCCTGCTCGGCCCTTCGCTGCGGACTTCCCAGGCTTGCGGGTCTGGAGCTGCGCGCCGGGCCGCGACGCCCCGCAGTTCGGCGCGCTGGGACCGCTCGGTGGCCTTTGGGCCCCTCGCGCGGGACCCAAGGAGGTGCGGGGTCGCTGCCTGGAAGGAGACGCTTGAGGCGCCTGGAGGCCTGGGCGGGCAGCGTTGGAGCCGGTCGGCGCAGCTTTTCAGCTGCCTTTCTTCAAGGGCTGGGGCGGCGGGCAGTTCGGTCTTTCGGCGGATGGACTCTGCCCATTAGCAAGCCCCTTAGCAGAGCGGGGACCGTTTAGCATACCTGACCTCGTTTATTTCCTGTGTCTGGTGGCAAGGAATTGGGGGTGACATTTGCAGCGCTGAACTGGTCGTCTTCTCCTTGCTTTCCTCACCCTCCCTCAGGCAGCCTGGGGGTGGGGGGGTGCGGCCGAGAACCGGGGGCTTCCCTACTGGTCACCGCTCGGTGATAATTCCTCTGCTTTGGGTGCAGAAACTGGCAAGTAAAAAGGGTCTGGGTCTACAGTGATGGCAGTTGGCGTCAGCCGAGTAGGCCATCCTGGGCTGAGGCCTGGCCTGGTGGCGGGCAGGAGGGTGTTGGGATTCTGGCTAAGGATCTGCGGAGCCAACCTCAAGATCCCTCCCCAGCTCCGTCTTCCTGGCGTGTCCATTTGCCGTACTGAAGCAGGCAGTTTTTCTCTCTCCAGCCCTGAGCTGACCGGTTCTGCCTGTTGCTGGGGCGGCAGGGAACCGCCGCTCTGCTGGGCTGGCGCATTGCGAGGGGAACGGTGCTGTGCCCTGCCATTCTGCCCATTCTTCCCAGGTGCCCCAGTGGTGTGCAGAACAAGCCCTCTCAGTGCAGTTTGCCCATGGCCGGGTGGTCTGCACCCAGCCACATAGTTTGGCAGCCCTCAGTCTGGCATTGCGCGTGGCAGATGAGATGGACCTCAACGTGGGCCATGAGGTTGGCTATTGTGTGCCCTATGAGGACTGCTGCGTCCCAGAGACCCTGCTCAGGTAAGTGGGATCCGCTCGTCTAGGGCATTTGCATTCTGGGGAGCCCGTTTCCTCTCAATTCTCTTTGGCTGTCTGGGTTGGGGCCTAGTGTATCTCGACCAATGTTGCTTGCGCTGAAAAAGCCCTCCATTTTGGGTAAAGGGGGAACTCTGGCTGGAGGCCAGGCTGGCAAAGCTGCTGGGCTCGTCTGCTCCTTCAGACCGGCTGCCCGTGCGATGCCCCATAGTGCTCTTAGTGCAGCGCTCCCAAGCAGGATGAGGAGCTCCCCGGAACTCCGGTAAACGGTCCCCTGCCCTGCCCTGCCCTGCCCTGCCCTGCCCTGCCTCGCCTCCCTCATCGTTGGTGTCTGTCAGCCGGAGCATTTGCCCTCCTGACTGGGGGCAGCGAAGTAACGGCAGGTCCAAGACTTGGAGATTACGTAGGGGGCCCAGACTGAACTGGGTATTTGTAAAGAGGTGACTGGCAGCCATGTTTCTCAGACAAACCAGCCTCAGATTAAAGGAAAATTATTACTGTCATTAAAAATAAACGCGAGAATATTAATTCATGACCGGGAACTAGTAGCAGTTAAAAAACCGGGAGACCGGGAGTTCCAGTCCTGCCTTAGGCATTAAGCCAGCAGGGTGACTTTGAGGCAGTCCCTTCCTGTCGGCCCCAGGGAGGAGGAGGCCGGGGCAAACACCCCTGAAAATGCGACCAGGAAAACCGCAGGGACTTGTCCAGGCAGTTGCCAGCCAGCAAAAAGCCTCGCGCTAACTCACAAAAAAGCCCTAAGAGAGAACACTAAGATGAAGCGCAAACACTTCCAGCCCTCGCGTTCAGTCGTTCTTTCAGAGAAGACGTTTGCTTTGACAAAGGCACCCAGTTGTCCAGAAGGGGCTGCGGGAACCCGAGCGCAGAGGCGGCGGCGGCGGCGCCAGAGCCTGGCCGAGGAACCCCCCTCTTCCCCGGCTTCTGGCCCCTCCCCTTCTGCACGTTGCGGTGGGTGGCTCCTCCGGCCCCTTGCTGGTGGGGAGGCATGTGTGTGCTCCTTTCCTGTAGGAATCAGGAGGGTGTGTGCAGGGG